TATAAATATAAATAATAGCCTTTTTATAAGTGCCCCGGAGGGGGTTAAAAACTATTTTTAAAATCTTATTAATTATACCTTTAGTAATTAGCTGTTTTAATATTTATTTATAAAATATTTTATTTTTTAACTAGCTTAATTTTTCTTAGGTTAACTTATAAATATATAAACTTTTTAAATATTACCCACGTGGGTAGCTTAGTAAGCTTTTTTTATTTTATATACTACTTATATTATATATTTTTTTTAACTTTACTTACTAAGTAAATAACTTTATTTATTTTAGTGCTATATTATATAAGAGCTTTATTAAATATATTTCTAAAATTATCAAAAAATATTTTTAATTTTATTAAGTTTTTATTATTAAAAATTTTAATATTTAGGGGCTTTAGTTTTTTTAGCTTAAGATTATTTTATAATAATTACCGTGCTAATGCCTTAATAACCTTATTTTTAATAAATATTTAAAATTATTTATATGCTTGGTCCTAGTTAGGCAATATTTTATTTATAATATTATTATTATTATTTACGCTTGGTAAGTTAAATAGCTTTTTAAAATTTTTAGCAGGTAAAGGTAGCCTATTTAACTATTAATATTTTTTAATTTATTAAGTTATTTACTTACCCTTATTAAGCTTTAGTTTTAATAGCATGTTTTATTATAATATTATAGTAAATAACCCAGCCACAKGCGTTTTTAAGGTAGTGTTTTTAATTAAAATAGCGTTTATTATAATATACTTAAGATTAATATATTATATAAGATTTTTTAAAAAAATAAGGTAGTAAAGAATTTTTTTAAGCCTTACTTATTAAAAAAATAAGTTATTTAATTTATAGTTTAAGTTATTAACCTTAATAATAAGGGTGTTATTAAATATTAGTAATATAAGTTTAAATAAAAATAATAGTTTTAAACTTTTTTATACCTAAATCTATATTTTAAAAATTTTAATTAAAATAGCTTTAGTTTGCCTTTATTTATTTAAAAATTTAGTTTAAAATACTATATTAATAATATTTAAAAATTAATAAAAAAAGTAATTTTAACTATAAGGGCGCCCTAGCATTTAAATATTTTTTATTAATAATAATAAAGCTTAGTAAAGTATTTTTAATTAATAAAAATAAAGTATTTAAAACCTTAATAAATTTAACTAAAAAAATTACTTAAAAAATTAAATATACCATAGCCTTTAATTTTTTTATATAAGTTTTATTAAAAGGCCTAAGGCCTTTAAGTAATTTTTTAAGCTATTTTTATTTAAAATATAAATAATATTTAAATATTTTTTATTCACGCCCCTTATAATTACTTTTTAATTATTAAGGTAATTTAATATAAAATATATTTTAAGTTTACTATTTAAATAATATTTAAAACCTAAGGTCCCTAAGCTAAGGTCCTTAGTTAAAGCTAATATTATATTAAGTTTTATATAGTAATTTATAATAATAAGGTTTATTAAGCTAAATAGGTGCCTAGGCATCCTATATAGGTAATGTTAATGCTTCGCGGTGGCGTGACCTGGGTGCCTCAGGCATTGCTTGATGGCGTGACCTGGATCAATGTCGGCCCTGACAACTTTTTAAAAATAATATTATAAATAGTAATAACTTGCTTTAATTTAAGGTTATAAACTTTATATAAATTTTTAAAGTATTTCATAAAGCAGCCCTTGGCCATATAAGGGTTAATTTTTATTTTATATATTTTTTTAAAAATAAGGTAAAAGTATTTATATTTTAGCATGTATTAATAAAAAATATTAAGTTATATTTTATTAAGTGCTTTATAGGGTGTTTACTAATAATTTTATAATAAAAATAATTATTAATATAAATAATAGTAAAAACTAGGTAATTTTAAAAAAACTTTAGGAGTTAGTTTTTTATTATAATAAATATAACTAGTTTAATAATATAATAATTTTTTATTTTAGTAATTAAATTTAGTGCTAAGTAATATTTTAATACTAAATTAAAAATAATATTATAGTTTTTATAATATAACTTAAGTAATTAATATTTTAAAATATTATTATAATAAATATACTTTATTTTTAACTTTAGTTATATATATAGTTAATTATAAAGTTAAAGGAACTTTTTAAAAAGTTTTTTTTTTATAATAAATACCTAGTAAAACTAAAAGGCCTTATTAATAAATATAATAAAGTATAAAACACTTACTTACCCATGTATTAATATAGGCCTGTAAATATTTATATATATAATATTATCTAGCTAGCAGCCAAGATTCCTAGTTAGATTTTATTTTATTAAGGGGAGTATTATTTCTTTATTAATAATATATAGCTTATATTATTAAACTAGTAGGTTTTTATATAATTTAAGGCTAATAATATATTAAAAAAAATTTTTAATCTTTTTTTTTAAATACATGGGTAGCCTATTAATAAACTAAATATATAAAAATTATTTTATTAAAAACCTTTACCCAGGCTGCTATTAAATTCTTAAGTAAAATTATACTTTAATTAAGTATAAAAGTATTTACAAGCGCGGTAATTACCTTAAAAAAGTATTAATATTTAAATAAAAATAATAATAAGATTTAAGCAAGGTGGTATATATAACTAGGGATTTATATTAAGTAAGTTTAATAATAATAATAATATTAAATATTATATAAATATTATTATTTACAAGCTATTTAATTAATAATAAATTATAAGCTAAGCTAGGCGTGTATTAAATATTTTTTAATAAAAAACTTTTAATTTATTATATACTAAACTTATTAATAATACCTAATATAATATTACTATAGCCTTTAATAAAAAACTTATTATTATTAGCTATTTTAACTAGAACTCTAGCATATTTAAATAATATAAAGTTATACTTAAAGTATATTATATAGTAAAAGGTGTTAAAATTAAATATTTAATTATTATTAATAGCTAGTTTAATATTTATATAAGTTAATTTAATATAAAAATTTAGCTTATTAATACTAAGGTTTAGTTATATAAATATAAAATTCGCGTATATAAAGTTAAAGTTAATATTAATAATATTAGTACTTAAAAAGGCCTGTAAAGCATTAGGTAAAAATATTAAAAAAAACCTTAAGTTAATTTCTAAGTTAATTATTATAAAGTACTAGTAATAATATTTTTTACTTATATAATATTTATAAAAGCAGAGGTACTATAGCCTTTTTTACCTTTTTTTTTATAATATTTAGATTTACCACCGTGGTCTTAACAGGCGCTAGCACTAGTACCTTTAAAGTTATTTTTATTTTATAACTAGGTATTTACTAAATTCCTAATATAAGTTAAAAAAAATAACTATTATATAATTAATAATATATACACTATATAGTGCTATAATTTTTAATAAAAATAAAATTATTATAACTAAAGTAGCTAGTAATATTAATAATATATTAAGTAATTTTAAATATTTATATTTAATTAAGTTTAAACTATAAGGAAAGTAAATAAATATTATTAATACTTTAATAAAATATTATATATAGCTAAGTAATAAAAAGCTATATATTATATAAGCTAAAAAATACTATAGTAAAAAAATACTATATAACTTATTAATTAAGGGTTTAAATAATTACTAGCTTAATAATAGTATTTTTAAACTTTATAAAAAATTATTTTAGTTACTAATTAATATATTTTATTATATTAAGTATTTACTAGCTTTTTTAAAAAAGCTAATATTAAATAAGTTATATAGCTTTTATAGGTAATAAAAGGCCTGGGTAATACTTTAAAGGCTAAAAATTTAGTTTATATATTATATATAAAGTATTAATTATAAAAATAATAATAAAAAAAAAGTTATATTATATTTAGCGCCCTTACTTTACTTTTATTTTAATATTTTAAAAAGTTTAAATACTTATTTAATTTTTAATAATAAGCTTAGTAACTTAATTTTAAGCCATGTTATTTTTATTAATATATTTAATAATAATAATAGCTTGTTTTAATAAATACTTATAAAAAAACTTTTTTAATAATAAGCTAAAAACAAGGCAGTTTAAATTAAAGTATAATTTTAAAAAATTTATGCTATAAATAATAGTTTTTTTAATTATTAAGCCGTGTAATAACTTTATAAAAGTTAAAAACTAATAATAATAATATTAATTATATTATAAATAAATTTATACACAGCCCTAATATATAGGGGTAGTATAAAAATTATATAAAATAAATAATTAAAAAATTTATACCAGGCGGCTAAAAATCTTAATATTATATAAAAATATTTTTAACTTAATAAATATTTAAAGTAAGTAAATTTTAAAAAAAGGTAGTAATAAGAAAAGTAATTATATATAAATAAATATAATATTTTAATAAAAGAAGCTACCTAGGGCATATAACCTTTTAAAAATAAAAGCTTAAAAATTATATTTAGCTAGGTTATAATAATAAAGCTATACTTGGTATAGCTAACTAAGCTAATAGGCAAGGGCTATAGTGGGGCGAGCAGTATACTACGCTCCGATAGTGTTTTACCTTGCTAAGCGATGGTTGGATTGGAAGTACCTAGATTTTATCGATGGGATACAGACTAAGATATTGGGATAAGGAAGCTTCAGGCAATCATTTAGATAAGATTTCAATCACAAACTATCTCGATAGAGTTATGCCCTGTCTTTTATGAAGAAATGACCATCATCGGCACTTCTACGGCTGTAGCACGAATACACCACGCTATTGAGAACACCAAGCCGCCGACAGCCCCCGATCGCTGGCCACAAAGTCACAGTCTCAGACCGGGTTCGGAAACAAACGAAAGGACCAGTGCTGAACTGACGGAGAAATGAAGGTACAAGCCATGATATGTCCCTTTAAATGGCATCTGGTAGTGGACATGTATGGGAAAGGCGCTAGATGCAGTGGCTGATGGATTCGTATGGCGAGCTGATTCTCAACCTAGTGATCCAATGATGCATCACAATACCGTGTCGACGCATAGTACTGCACGATTTCCTAGTACCGCAGCCGATCTGACATATCCTTCAACCCGGCAAGGAAACTGTCTTGCACATCGCAGCGCGACTGATACGCTGTTTGCAGTTCCTCCTTTTCCCGGGCTATGGTTGCTACTTTCTCCGTCTCAGCCAAAAGACGCCGCTGTAGTGCTTCGATAGTGACTGTCAAATCCTCCTTTTCCTTGGAGAGTGACTTAATCTCTGAAGTTTGGTTGACGTGGGTTCTCTGCAGCCTCAGAACATAGTCGATCATTTCCTCGGCGTCCTTTGTCATGACCTCCATTTTTTCTTGTTCACTCTTGAGACGAATCTCTAGCTGCTGGATACGTGGATCATCATGGTCTGCTTGATCACGAGTGTCGGCTTGCTGCTGCTGGGATAAATGTGTCACTTGTTGCTCGTCTTGGGCCATCTGCACGGTTGTATGCAAAGCGTCATCTTCATCCAAAGTATGCCCGCAACCCCGACTGTCCTCCCTCTCGAAGACCTTCTCCGTCTCAAGGGCTAATTGTGTGGCTATTACCTCGTCTTGTACCTTCTGGACCGTTCCGCAAAGAGCGTTACACTCGCCCGAAGTACGCACCCGTACCTGGGCCGCCTCCGTCAGGGCTAAACGTGTGGTCTGGAGCTCCAAGGCCAGTTTTTGGTTCTCTCGTCGTAGCGTATCGTTCTCCTCTTTCTGTCTTTTCAGATCCTGAGCCATCAAAAAGTTATGGTCATTGGCTAGCGTGCGGTAGCCCTCCAGGAGGGTGATCATCGCATTGTTGCTTTCATTGATGCACCGTATATTCTTATCCCTTATTGCAACGAGTTCATCGAGCGTTGTCGATTCTGAGCTTGGGCGTTCATTGAGTCGAGCCAGCTCCTGGGTGACGGTCCCCAGCACGATGGTACTGCGCTGGGCAGCTGCTGGCAATGCCAGAGATTGCAATGTAGCATTCTGTGCTGAGATACCGGCCTCCGGAGTAGAGTGCTGAGGTTGAAGGCCAGAGCTTTGCTCGTTGTCTGCTCCCTTTGCCACATCAGTCCCCTCGTTGGACCCAAACATTTGCTCGTCGTCGTGAAGTGCAAGCGAGAGACCGACATCACTCAGATCCTCGTGGTCGGTGTCGGTGGATGGTGTCCTCTCCGGTGGAGTTTGGCCCGGTTGCCAAATTGGGACGCCCTTTACGACGCGTCAGCATACACTGCCTCACAAACTGTACATATTCTGCGGTGGACCAGGAACCAGTTAGGGTAGGTTGACCAACATTTCCATTTTGTCCGGCAATTCGATCGTCGCTTCCACCAGTAGCAAGTCCAGAACAACTCTGATTTGGGTTGGTGCTGGCACCACTTCTCGTCATATGGGAATGTCCGAGACGCTTTTTCACTTCAAGCGCTCTAGCCCGGCACCTTATCGCAATCGGGCTTCGTCCTGGAAATTCATCCTGATATTTCTGCCGCAGTAGTAAATCAGCATCAATGAATAAACAACGCTGCCCGACGCACTGGGCTTGCAGCTTGTGGGATCTCAAACCACCACCACCCGCTTGAGGTCAGAAAAACATGTACAGGTTGCCAACGTACTTTACTAAATCCCCGTAGACTCATGTCTGAATCCTGCTCCCTAAGCCGCTTCAGCTTTTTGTCCTCGCGCTGAGACCATTCACTCCCTCTCCCCATGTTTCTAGAACGGGTATCGACTGTACAGGAGGTCGCACCGTGTGATACTGTGGATACTAGACCCCAAATCATGGGGTCAAGTTAGGCTTCATCATAACTCCTGATGCAGTGGGCGGGTGTTACCAGCTAGAATAGCCCCGAGCTCGATGTCCGGACAACCAAAGAGCTTGGAGGATTAGTGAACACGGAATAGGGAAGGAAGAACAATTGAGTCAGCAATGGTGACGCGGTGGGAGGAAGTGGACGAAGCAAACTGCCTTGAGGAGCTTGTGATCTGCGGGTCCATGGGCGTGGTAGCGGAAAAGGACCGAGAGTGGAGGAGTGTCAGAAAATAAAAGATTGGCTGTGAAATGGCAGGTGACTGTACCGCCCAACAAGGCCATGAACATTGAAATTGGAAATTAAACAACTGGTGTCTGTTCAATATCATGGTCCTCTCAGTCTACTAACTAAGGAAGCGAGGAGGATAGCGCTGACATTCTGCTAAGATCCATATCGAATATTCATACTGCGGACCCGATACACAGAACTGCACCAAAAGCAATTTGATTAGCCGCCAAGGTTATACTAAGACATCGCCTACCAAACTATGCGAAGCTCTCGCATGGTGCATATAGTCGTGCCCTCTATCTGGGGCTTGGGGATTACAATGTGTTTGAAGGTTCATATTCTTTGAGCTAGCTATGCGTTGTCCTTGAGTCACAGAGCCTTGTGGACATATTGGACGCTTTTGTTTGAAAATTCAACTAAAACCTTCTAAGTAGCCACAGACTGCAGCTGCAAGTCCTGCATGACACTGAATCATGATCAAGTTTATTATGCTTCATCGTCTCGCTCGAACTCGACACTAGGCCCAGCCCTTGACAGTGGCTTGGGAGTCAGAGCGTGAAACTGGCTTGAACTAGTCATTATTGTATGGCAGGTCTTCGACAAACCTAGCAAGCCTATCAAGCTTCTTCTCAAACTTGGAAATTGCACTTTTTTCCAGCGCCATTGCATCGACCTTCTGGTTCAGTGTGTGCATCGTATTGTCAACGAACTTGAACCCATCCGCCTCGAGAACCTTGAGCTTCCCGTTCAAGCGGCTCTCCAGATCCTCCAATTTCTTTTCGTAGGCGGCTTTTAACTCTTTGAGCTTTTGGTCAAACGCCGCTTTCAGCTCGCTTAGATCCCCGTTGTGACCAGGGCTACCAACAGTTGAAATCTCCCGCAAGGGTTGAAGCAGTTCAGGTAATTCCGGCTTGTTGGGGGGTTTCGACTGAGAGGCCGTTCTGACCTGGCTAGAACCCAACCTGGAGGCCTTGACAGCTAGTGTTCGAGCTAGACTTGGTGACAGCTTGTGTTTCGCCCAGTCAATTAGATCCAGGGGTTCCCAGCTACTGCCTGGTCCTTCTTCCTTTTGTGGCAACGACCTCGCCACTGACTCCCCAGGCGAAAACGCTAGTCGATTTGCGTACATCGGGTCAAGCTTCTCGATAACCGATGGCGGTGACTTATATTGGCCAAAGAAGGAGCCCTCTATGACTTCCCGGTCCGCATTCGGTCGCTCCGTTTCTTGTCGCATCAAAGAGGGTCCCGTTGAACATTCCGAAGCTTCAGGGCCATTCGATGCCGAACTGGACGTTGCAGAACTGCCGCGGTATCTAAGCGTGACTACCTTCTGGACATTAACAAAAACCTCGCACAGTCATAGAATAACCTGAGCCAGCTCACCAGTTTCTGTTGGTCATTGGAACCTTTTAGCTGCTCTTCATTCTTATGTGCGGCCTGACTGTTCTCAGCCGCCGGACTTTCGAACATGGCCTCGTCTGCCGGCGTGTCGTCTAAGACGATGGGGTTCGCCGCGTCACCTGGTGTTCCTGTCCAACCATCAGCACACTAATTAACCATGCAATCGCTTGACCGGCCTCACTTTCCGAAGCATTGTAATTTTCAGATTCATGATGTTTCCCTTCGATACATTGGCGGCTGCGGCGCTCGGCTCCGGCATCCTGGTCCTCGGTATCGGACTGGTGTAGCCGCTTCCCCAAAGGCGAAGAGGAAGCTGTTGAAAGCCCTTCGGGCATTCTTTCCCGCGGAATCTGTCTGGTTTTGATGAACGATAGCTTTGCTGCGATCGATGTGTGCTTTCGCGAGAAGCGGCTGGCGTGTTTCTGATAGAGTATGCATCAGGCTAAGGTGTCTTTGGATATCGAAGAATTCGAATCGTTTAAAGGAGCAGAAATCTTCCGTTCAACTCAGACGAGCAAACCCAGGTTTGCTTACCTTGGCGAAGTCACTCTGCAAGCAATCAGGATCCTTCGCGCGTAGCTGCTGGAGTAACGTGATGTCTGCTGGAGACCACCTGGTCCCCTCCTTTATCATGCTCCCTTCTTCTTGCGGCGCATTGACGGCCATGCCCGCAGCAGTTTCAGTAGGCAAAGTCATGATTGATACTGCGGCTGGCGTATTTCTATCCTCCATGAATTGGTGCTAACATGGGCCGTTTGGCGTGTGTTGTTGAGAGGCTTATTCAAGAGAAGCGGCCAGAAGACCTGGATTTAGACTGGGACCGGCCACAAGTCAACGTGGATTGAAGGTTCATGCGTGAATGGCTGTCTGAAAGAAGGTGCAAAGTTCAAAGAGAGCAAAGAAGCGCGCAGTGGGAGCATCGCGGAATTGACTCTGTGTTGCCGAGACGCTGCTGCTGGACATTGGTACTACTGTACATAAGTCACCAGGCAGAAACTCGGGCATCCTTTGTTTTCTAGGACTTGGGTTTCAAGTTAACCAGGAGGAGCGGGCACTGGCCCCTGGATCGCCACAGAGCAGAGATTGACGTACTTGTAATCGTCTACCAGACGCATTAAAGTGATTTTTAATATTGCAATCGCCACCTTTCAAGGGACAAAAGCTCAGCAGCAGCTCTTGTTTCTATCATGCCCCTCTCCCATAGTCCAACTATCAATTCTTAGCCCTTGGTTGAAAGTACTCATTTGTGTATATACAGTCTGTTCTGGGCCTCTGGATTGAGCTACTTTCTAGCTTCCCACTTGTGGGCGAGCTCCTGCTTTTGGCCTCCCAGTAGACAAAATAGTCTGATAAGACTGTCGGAGCGTAGTATACTGCTCGCCCCACTGTAGCCCTCGCCTATTAGCTTAGTCAGCCACACCGAGTATAGCTTCACTATCGTGGCCTAGCTAGATACAATCTCCAAGCTTTCATCTCCAAGAAAGACTAGATACCAGCAGTCGTCATAGGCTCGCCATATGGGCCACCAACTCACAGATCGCTTTAGATTCTGCCTCATGATTCTTCATACACTTATGAAGCTGCTTGAGTTGTTCGGACACGGAGGACTCTTTCATCATCGTAATCCGTAGATTGCTTTCTGCCACCTCAAGACGCGCTTCGCTCTCCTCCTGAGCGGAAATGGCTCGCTGGAGCTCGCGTTCCAAACTTAGGACCTTCTGCTCAAGAACTAATTTCGCTTGTCTCTCAGCCTCGAGCTCCTTGGCTAGTTCCGCCCTCCCTTTCCTTGTAGTAAGTAATCCAATATCCTCCTGTGGGGGAATTTTGCCAGGTTCATTGGCCTGAAGGTTATCGTTTCGTGTAGCGTGACCTTGAAAGACAGAGCCTCTTAGCTCACCGGCAACTGAGGCTTCGGTTCTTCTGGAAGCGAAATCACTCATGTCGACCGGCTGGGATATATCCACGTAGGCCGTAGTACGTAATGTCCTCGACGGAGTAACGTGACTGGGGGGGTTAGAAGAAGGTGGCGAGTCTATGGGTTCCGGATTACTGAAATTTGTGTCGCGGGGGATATTGTCATCCTGCGGCTGTATAAGCGATACAAATCGAACTAGGGGTGTAGAATGTCTATCCTGGAGGCCCGGGCCTACCAGGCATACCACTTACTTTATCACTGGATGGGGCGTTTCGCGGCCCAGGATCATTCTCAACTTCCACCAATTGATTTTGGTGGTCGGGATCATTACCGCGATTATAATTAACCTCAACCTCGGATGGAACTGGATCCTCGGTGACATGTCTATCGTCCAAGCTAGGAACACCTTCAGAGCTGCTTGAGTAGTAAACGGGGCCGAAAGAACGGTGGGGACCAGAGTCACTGTCATCTTCAGATCCGCTTGTATCCGTATTGCCGGTCAACCGAGAACGGGGAGACGGGCTCTGTACACGTTGATATGGCCGCCGGAGTAACCGTACCTGCACAATTTGTTAGTAAAATGTTCCAAAGGGGAATTATGAAGAGGCTAACTAACGCTTCTATCAAAGTCTATATCACCACCATCATTGTAGGTGCTTGATGAACAGGGAGCATGCTGATCGATGCTGCTCAGGAACCCATACCGGGTGACTGGAGACGGCGTTGCCGGGTGCGGCACATCGCACTCAAAATGCAATATTCTCGGGGAGAACGGTTGGGGCTCTATATTTGGTGAAGTTCTGGGCAATGGTGTGCTCGGTTGCCAGGGTTGCCCTTGTTCAAAGGACGGACTTCGGCTGCCCAAGTCCTGGCTGCAGTGCCGTTTTGAACCAGAATCCGGGCCCTCTGTTTGTGTGGATGGTGACGATGACCGCCGCTTTCTGATAACAACCGCAAGTAGACGAGTCTCAGGGACACTTAGGATTTCCTTAATGTCTGATGGATTGAGATTATCTTTCATCTTTCGCACCTTCCCTCGGATGGCTCCTGCTGACCGTCCCGGGAAGTCATCTTCAACTTTCTAGAAGCCCCAGAAGTCAGCATGGACAATGAAGCATGAAATGACCAGTGGTCCTTATTAAAGGATGCAAGACCATAAAATTGGCCAAGAAGAGACTTGTAGAAGGAGCTGACTTACCTTTGCAAAGCATCTTTCACTGAGCTCAGGATTCTCCTCCCTCAATTGCTGGAGCTTTTGTACCTCATCGAAAGACCACTTGGATCCTTGGCTTAGGTCCATAGCTTCGCAAAGAAATGTCGTCTATACCCAAAAGCTAGGTCAGACCCAACGACTTTGTGTAGTTGGTGACGGCAATCAAGTGAGTGAAACCACTGGCTTAAGCCTCCGGCGGGACCAGGTGTAGGCGAGAGGAGAACAGAGATCGTAAGTCAACATGAAGCAGTTACGACCAGTACCATAGGTTGAGAGGGTACGAAGTAGTAGAACAAGTTCAATTGGGAAAGCAGGTCTCGCAGAAAAAGCTTGGGAAAATATATGGTCAAGCAAACGAGCCGGTGTTGTTTCTCAGATTTGGGGGGGTGGACAAGTGGGGCAGCCCCCAAGCACCTCAGGGACCCGTAAGCACCTACAAAGTACACAGCAGTAGTTTCGATTGATTATACTACCAGGGTACCAGGGCAGACAAGAGCCAAAGCTCAAATGGATTATCAACGAGCTTTTGCATCCGAGGACTCCTGAATGCGCATATAAAAGGTTGGATCTTTCGAGATTGTCCGTTCGAGCTGCGAAGTTCAAACCACCAACCTGCGTTTCTAATTCAGAGTGTCCCACTAATCGTGAACCTTACCTTGCCATGCATATGGCAATTCTTGTCAGATGTAATCAGCGGCTTAGGATCTAGGTTCTGGGACCATATCCATGCTGTTTGGGCAGTAATAAATATCGACATGTAAGACTCCGCAGCAATTTTAAGGGGAATACTGAAAAGATACCGATAGAAGCCATGTTTACAAAGGTCCCCCTTTACTACCACGAATTACCCATCCAACCATTATAGTACCCTGGCGCAGATAGACACTTATTGCATTTCTAACCATTAAAAGCCACATGGATCTCCTTATAACTGCAAAAGGTTCTTTTACGTCGAAAGCCTAAATTACTCAGACGCCATTTGCCCAAAGATAGTATGGTAAAAAAACATGTAAAGGGAAACGCGAACCCAAGGCCGTGGTAAGACAAATGCCAGATGGATAGAAACTAACAGCACTCAGAACTCCTCATTTCCATCCTGATCGGCATTTTTGGGCTCTGACGCCTCGTCCATACCCTCATCTTCAGCTTCAAGCTGCCGGAACCGAGCAGCAGCGCTAGAAACGTCCCGGATGTAGTCAAGTGCAATCCCAACATCGGCCCGTAGAACCTTGCTATCCTCCCACACTCCCCTAACCTTCTTGGTGAGCTCTTCTAACTCTTCCCTCTTGACAGCACCCTGTTCACCCTCAAGCACCTTAGTAAGACGCACGACCATTTCAGTAAGAACCTCATTGTCCCGTGCCAGCTGTTCAAGCTGCGCAGTCTTGATCTTGCTCTCCTGCTCCAGTGATTCGATTTTGCGGTTCATTTGTCTCACTTCCTCGATGAAGCTCGATTCCGTGGTATTCAGTCTTTCTGTAAAGCTTGCGGACATGTTGTTGAGTGCTTGCATGTAGCTTGCTGACATGTTCTTGAGACTCTTCGTATAGCTCGCTTCCTGGTCTTTCAGGTCCTGCACTTGCTGGAGCATCCCTTCCACATCGTCGCTGTCAAGGGTCAAGTCGATGGCTTCAGAGTGGCCTTGGGGCTGGTCCGATGTGTTACCTTCGGCTGTGGCGGGCGGTGTTTGTAACGCGGGCTGCGGGGTCTTCGGCGCCAACGGCTGAGTGGACTCAAGCATATTGGCTAGATGACCGGGAAGGTTGTTGTCTGCCCACAACCTGAGATCAGCAGGATGCTGCAAACCACCCGGTGCGACTGGTTTGCCGTCAGGACCAGGAGCTCTACCCTGTTGTTGTGCGTCTTCGGACACGGACGGCTGCGAACGGGATGTGTGGCGTTTCTCAACAATGGACTTCAGAGAATTGTACGACGGCGGACTTGTACCATTTGTTACCCTTCTGAGGCTGGAGAGGGCGGAAAACGGCGTTGGAGATTCAGTTGAGGGATGTCCGACCTTGCGCTGAGCATCCTTCGGCACGCTTGCTATCTTGTCCGCGAGAGCGATAAGAAGCTCTTTGCGGATCTTGAGTGTTACGATCTATAGTGTTTGTCAGCAAACACTTTCTGTCAACCTACCTTGTTTAGGGAGGGCAGCTATGTGCCTAAACGTACCAGGCTCTTTCTCCAGTCAGGAAGGTCGTCGTCGACATCAGGAAGATCGCTGCTTGAGTCGGAGCCAGGGTCAGGTGACCCGTGTGCAAAGGGACCTTGTCCAACGAGATCTCTTGGGCTGCGTTCTTGAGATGCACGGGCTTGCAAGGAATGCGCCTTTGCCACAATACTTCCGATACTTCGATCAGGGAAGTGGCTTGCGTTGTTCTGGCACTTATTAGTAACTCGTCAAATCTGGGTATTACCCGAGCGATGGGCAGCATGGTATTTCAATGACTTACATGGGCAAATGTCGGAGCACCGGAATTGGGATTCTGCTCAAGCAGATGTTCCAGCATTTCCAACTCAGCTGCAGTCCAAACTCCGGGCATGATGATTTCAGTTGCTTCCAAGTTCCAGGTGCGGCTTCAAAAACCCAAAGATGTGAGTAGACAAGAAAAAGACATGGGGAGCGGATGGGCGTATAAATACAACAAGTGGAGGAGTGTTACCATAGCGAGGAGTGATCGTAGGCAGACAGCTAGTGAATGTCGCCAGTGGGGCTATCATGTCTGGCACAAAGCAGCTCTTCAGGCTTTATTGATGGGTGAAATGACCTAGGCTGATAGGCAATAGAATAAATCATGATTTGGCCTGTATCTAGCATATATACAGGTAGATTATGATCCAAACTCCAATAGCCATTATACCACTATGTCCCTAATGCTTGATGAACCCAACCAACTCCTCAAGCGTCTTGCAAACGCCCGTTATCCTCTTCTTATCCTCCAAGATCTTCACCTGCTCCTCTTCCATCTTCTTCATCGCCGCCTCCATCAGCACCTGCTCCTCTTCCATCCTCTTGACCTCCGCCTTGAGTTGTCCAATCTCCTTGACATATCCTTCCTTCTCCTTAGTCTCCGCAGCTAACTTGTCTCTAAGCTCATTACACTCGGCAGCAAGCTCTTCATTTTGAACCTGGGCAGCCTGCTGAGCATTCTTGAGGCAGCTTTTGAGCCGACTAATCAGCTCCTCGCCATCCTTATTCAGTTGGGTAAGCCACCGCCGAGTTATCGCCTGCTCCTCCTCCTCCTGACGCCACTCCAATGGCTTCGAGCGCTGTTCTCCTTCAGTAGCCGGACGGCTGTTCAGAAACTGTTGTGGGCTAGTTGACACCGCGGATTGCGGCGGCCGTTCGAGATTTGGATCTTGGTTTGGGGTTGCCCGAGAAGACTCCGGTAGGTTCTGATGGTCCAAGTTTGCGGGTGGGCTCTGCGTCGGCGCAGTGCCCGTCAAGGGTGCAGACTGCCTTCTATGGACGGTCTGTAAGGGGGCGGTTTGATTAACGGGCGTGAAAGAGCTCCTGACTGGCTCGACAGCTTTCCGCGCTGGGACTGTCGCTACCGCGGACTGGGTGTGTTGAATGGCGTTTTGTAGGTGTGAGTGGCTTGATAGCGTCTGGGTACTTGGTGACTGCGAGGCACCTTGACCTGTTGGTCGGGAACCACCGCCGCCAATCTAAACGCCCATTAGTCAATACACCTTTCCCTTGAATCCATGACTACACCTGCCAGCGAGTTCATGCCGTTGCTCTTCGCGCTTGTTGCGCTCTTAGCTGTTCCAGGGTTATCATAGATATCGCCTTCATCCTCGCTACTCTCAGAGTCTGTCTCATGGAACACCCTAGGATCCTGATGCTTGGCGGACGAGCCATTCCCGTCCATTGCTGGCCGCTTCGCCGGCGTTGTATCGCCAGAGCTTCCACGTTCCCTTCTCTTCCTGGCACTAATAGTCATAGATGTCATCCGGTAAAATTGCATCTGGACAGCTGCGTCGGTGTGGTTGGGAAAGTGATTGAGCTGTTAATGTGTCAGATGTAGACATTGGGATGATTTCGGTATCAAAGAAAGTGCAAAGTAGGGGTGGAAGGACGGATATACCTTGTGGAAAGCTGTCCAAGGCATACCTTTCGTATTGCCCGTTGTTCGCAGCCTGTGGAGGCGCTGCTTCTCCTCATCGGTCCACGAGGATTCGCCGACTCTGCGTGGCGTTGTTGTGGACATTTCTCTAGTATAATAAGAATCTAATTGAAGACCAAAATGGGGATTAGAAGCTAGGCCGCGGGGCTGTGTATTGCGATGTTGTTGATGAGCGCGTTCGACGGATTGTCGACGGGTGTCGTGTCGAGGTGGCACATGTTTGGTGTTTCCCGCCCCCGCGTGGCCTTGGCGGCCTCGGGCCTGCTGCTTACGTGTCGGCGTAAATACTCCGGAGCTGAACTACCTAAACTACACGTGGATTCTAACTTCGAACTACTTCATATAATGGAACTCTTTTCTTCTCGGTGGAGAGTATATATACTTCTGATAGTACCGCTGTCTAAGATAAATTATGTTAACTGAAATACTGAATAAAATGATTCAATGTCAGGCTGTCCGAACCGTCGTTTCACAAAGCCGGAATGGGACGATAAGCAGATTACGGAGTAAGGGGGCGTTGTACCAAGGGACTCAGGGAGCCATCGGCCAGCATAGAACTATAGCTTCGTTGTACAGAACTTGAAGAAGAAATGCGTAAACATTCACTAGCTTGTATGTAATCCACCAACTGACTTTATATTGTTTCGAGATGTACACTCTGCCCTCACAGGACTCACACTCTAATACTTGAAAAGTATTCCAAACAGCGCGTGAAACTATTTACCTGTGGTCCGGGGCCACAGCATGAAACAGAGAGTTGGGATCCCACGACTAGATCAAACCGAGATGTTATGATAGTGGCTTTCGACAAGTTGAAGGCTAGCTGCTGATGAGCAGGAGCTGATAAAGCAACAGGCCGAGATTTGACATCTAACGTAGATGCAAGTGAGAAATAGAAAGGTAAAAGGCAGGCGAAGAGATGACTGAGGAGCGGTGAAACGAGGGATGGGAACAATTTAATTCAGGCCATTGAGATGCCGGCTGTTAAGATGCGGCTGTTAAGATGCGGCTGTCAAGATGCGGCTGTCAAGATGCGGCTATCAAGATGCGGCTGTCAAGATGCGGCTGTGAAGATGCGGCTATCAAGATGCGGCTGTCAAGATGCGGCTGTGAAGATGCGGCTGTGAAGATGCGGCTGTCAAGATGCGGCTGTTAAGATGCGGTACCTCTCACATTCAACATGGACGCGCTCTGGCATCCAAGAGGCTTCTGGCCGCTGTGTGACGACCAGCTGTTCGATCTAATCACCAGGTATAGTGAGCCGCACTAAGGCTGGACAACAAGTACACTACTCGTGACCAACAGCTCTTCATGGCTCCACAACAGTCACGTCTAGAGATCTGTTAGATTCTGTTCAAATAGGTTCAAGGGCCGATGGAGTTTCAGGAGCGTGGTGTAAATGAACGATTCAGTTCCAGGCGGGATACCGCTCATGATTTTAGATACACTACTCCTCCGAACCATGCTGCGTAAGCGCATCCAAAATCCCATTTTGCTTCCACTGTTTCAATGACTCGGCAATCTCACTGAATCGCTTCAATTCCTCCTGCATCTTGCGGTTGTCACCCGTCAATTGCTCAATCTGCCAGACATATCTTTTATTTTCTGCTGTCTCAGCGTCGAGGCTTGATTGAAGCTTGACCGCATGATTTACGGCCGCTTGGAAGGTGTCTTTCAATCTTGCTGTTTCCGCCACGGAGTCCGCTAACAAAGCTTTTGTTTGTGTCAATTCATCCTCCAGTTTTCGAATCTCTCCCAAGTTGCTCATCATGCAGGTGTTCCAATCTGCTTGGAACTTGCTCGATATGGAATGTTGCGGGCTGCGATTTGGCGGCGTAGATTCAGGTTGTTGAAGTACAGGTGAAACCGACCATGAAATTGGTGGCGTTGATTCAGGGGATTCCCGTGCCGTTACAGCTCCCTCCGACATACCCCAGCTGATTGGGGACTGGTCCTCACTAGTTTGTGAAGAATTTGAATGCTGCGTTGATGGCACCGGCGCAAGGCACATCTCGAAAGTGCCGTTGTCAATCTGGAAAGCATTGGTAAATTGCGAGGTCGGCATTGGCGGCGAAGCATCCTCCCTGCCATTTCTGGACGTCTCCTGGATATTATATTCGGAGTCACTCTTCGTGGATACAGCAGCAGTATCAGCTCGTTTAGGTGCTCGCGACTCTGGCATTGGAGACTCGGCGGCAGCTCGCTTCATGATAGCCTTTGTTATGTTACTAAGCTCGAAACGACCGCGTGGCCTTGGTTGAAGCACTGATTCAGGAGCTGGAGGCATCGCGGTCGCCGTCCGTCGACGAGGGCTCTCCGATATTGGAGTTGGTGTAAACGCGGCGCTTGGATGGCTGATAGCTACGCCGATCATGCCACCGGGCGTGGAGGCCGGAGCATGTGCTGCACTGCGTCTTGGCGGCTGTGATCGTGTCGGAGTCTTTGCACTTGAAATTAGCGGGATGAAACTGTATAGTATAACTCCAAGTTGAGTCTATTTAGCTTACCCTCTCCGCTGCTATCTTCCTCGTTCGAGGTTCTTCAAAGGGTATATCGCTGTCGTCGTCGGACTCGCTGCTCTCCTCATAGGTGTCATCCTTCTCGTCGTCGGATTTGATCTTCCCTCCTGATGCACCATCAATCTGATCGTCATACTCACTGCTCTCTTGGTTGGAGCCCTCGCGGCCTCCATCACTGCTATCACTGTCTTGTGTCGCCACGGGGCGAGACTCTGACTTAGCAGCAGCCTTGGTCTTCATTTTTGGTTCAGAACCTGGCTTCGCCCGGTTGTAACCATATCGCAGCCGGATATAATGCATCTGCACGCCTTTTGGGGTATGTTCAGGGAAGTGTTTTGACTAGGGCCATCATGCTGAGTCAATAAGATGCACACTTTGCGGCCAAGCAACGAAGACACAATACCTGTCGAAAGACGAGTACTTTTAATCCCGAATAAACAGAGCAGAGGAAGATTGTAAGTGAAGTACCTGAAACTCATTCCAACTTAGATCGTGGAATTGCTCTCTTAACCGCAAGAGCCTGTCGTCTTTTGCCTTTGTCCATATAACCTGGGGTGGTCCATCACGGCGTGGCATGATACTGGTGGGTCATGAAACTGTGTAGTAGGGACACTGAAGTCAGATTTAGATGCTAAGCTGGGAACTCGATACCAGATAGAATACAATGCAGTTAAGAAGGAAGGGCAGACAGTGGCGGTCGCGCCTTCGGGCCGACCCTGCTCCATCACGTGACACCATTGATGCTTTGCCTCTTTGTCCGAATTGCAGGAATATATGTTTCGTCCACTTCATTCCTATCCTTCCATCCCCTGGCGAACACAATACAGAACATATGAACCAACCTCCATGCGCGATATACCTACCTCTTGTTTTCTGGCGCGAAATAGCTATCAACATTCCATGATCGTCCAGAGCTTTCCCATGTCATGCGTGAGAGCTCTTGAATCTCCGACTCTGTTGGTTTAAGAATAATCTGAGCGGCTGTAGTCATAAAGGTCATCGCGCAAGGCTGTCAGCCTCCTCAACAAATGAATGTTTCATTATCCAAAGCATCTAAAGTATCTGACCCATGAGAGCATTATCAAACGTCTACCCCTGAGCTGAGCTCGCCTGCTGCATCATATCAGCGAACCCGCCAGTAGTGTCAAGCTGCTTAAGAGCATCAAAAAAGGCCTCAACCTTTTGCGCCTTCTCATCCATCATTGTCTTCTCCTTTGTCAGTTCGGACACCCGCCTGGCCAGAGCCTCAGATCGCTCATCTCTCTGTGTTCGAACTGCATTAAGCTGATACTGCAGCTCTGTGTTCTTTGCCAGCGCCCGCTCCAACTTCTCCTCCAGCCGCTTGACTTTCTGCACATGGCCTATCACGTACATGTTCACGTCGAGTTGGAAGTCGTCTCCGAGTGACTTCCTTGGTGCCGACCTACCCGGGGGCTTTAGTGGCACGGTCTTTGTTGTTCCCTGATAGCCTGAGCTGTCTCCCTCTGCTGCATGTCGCGCTGGCCGGGGTATTGGTCGTAACTGCGTTGACCGCGGAGTCGCATTCGGCTCTGTCGCTCTCCCAGATGTATCGCCATCGATGACGGCACGCTTATTCTCTCGAGGCGAGGTAGTAGGTGGTGCGATGGCGGGTCTTTTCAAAGCAGTCGGAGAACCAGCACTGAGCTTCCGGGGGTCTGCTGGTTGGGACGTCTGGATAATAGGAACGATTAGCGAATCCGATCAGCGCCGCGAAACCACAAAGACAAGTCGTTAAGAAGGTAAACCAGCTTACACCCTCTGCTACCGTCTCATCATCATCGTCACACCCGCTCGAGTCATCATCAGTGGTCTCCTCATCGGTCGTCTCACTTTCTTCGTCAAAACCCTTCACATCATCCAATGTCTTCTCCTTATACATGCCATCCCTTCTGATGGGCTGAAGTCTATCAGAGCGCCTTCGGCCGGGCGTAGGCCCTCTCTCCGAGCGTCGAGATTCGAACTGAAACACGGCTCTGGGTCTCCCTCTGCTTGCCAGCATTTGCCGCCCAGCTGGTATTGTCCGGGGCCGCCCATTTTTCAGCCGGCTGTACTGTAACTGCACGGCCGGGTTGGAGCGACCAGGGAAGAGGTCTAGCTGTGCGGGCGGAGTTAGCCCAAAGATGGTCGAAAAAAATCGACAGCGCCGTCGGTCGCCGAATCACACGGGCCAGGCAAATGAAACAGGTCGCTGGTTCACGATACCTTGTGGAAGTCGGTCCAGCTGAGCTGGCAGTACTGCTCCTTGAGTCGCAAAAGCCGCTGGTTTGCTGCGGGCGACCAGCCTTCTCGGCGCGCTCTGCTAGACATACCGGTGATACTCCGTACGCGTCGGGATTTGTCGAACTTGGACTTTAGTTATGCTTTTTAGTGATAAATGATAATTTCCTCATAATCTCTGGAGAAGGATCGATCGGGGATTCGAGGGCCATCTTGACTAGCGCCAGTCAGCCGGTCGGGCAGCGCCCGCACCCCTTTTTCGTGCGTCCATGAACTCCATGCATCAAGGCTGCGCCGCTAGCACAGCCGGGCCCAGGCCCCGTCTCCCGGGCCCAAGTTGCCTTTGATAGTTGGGGCCGGGCGCCCAGGGCCGTCCCGAATCCAACAGATAATCTCGTATTCGCGCGCTCTCATTGGTAGAATCTCTCGTAACCAACAAAACCAGTCATGACTTGTAAATACACCAAAAAAAAAGCACATTCAAAACTGATTAGGATTAATGCGTAATAAAGATGTCTTTGGGTTATTGGAATCAGGTAGTTGATTTCTAAATTGTAACTCTACGCTCTGCGTAATTTCATCATTAGATATCTTTTTCTCGTTTATCAGAAAAGAATAACAATCAATGACAGAAAAGCCATGCGCCGCCGCTGCCACGTCAGAGAATTTTCTGGTTCATATTATCCTCCCCGATTCAAAAGTACCACCGCTAATCTCAAAGTGTAATTGGAATTGGCTCAAATAGCACTTGGTCAGATCAACGTTAGTTACGCTGCCATTGTGAGTTCGTTCCAAGAGACGTAGACTACGGGCCCTCGAAACCATCAACGCGGCAAGATCGGAAGATGTGATTGATCAAGGCCGCGGTCAAAGTTGGAAACACCCAAGTTTCGATTAGCGTTGAGATTAGAGTGGGCGACCGTAGCGTGGACGTGGTAAATAAACTTTCCTCGAACCGCAAAATATATATGTCACCACCAACACCACAATTCGATTTGTCGGCGATTCGAAGTAAGCACGGAGAGGCTTAAATGTAACGCTCATAATATGTATTTGCCTATCTGATTTATAGTACCATCACAGAACTAACTCAAGTCGTGGGCAATATATTCAGACATGACACGATTGAATGACTCTAGAAGGGCCCGGTCGAAAATCACCTTGTCAGCCTAAAATCAGCACAACTGGGTAAGACATGATTAAAGTATACTACGGGTTTCAGAATCCCAGGATACCAGAACAAAACAACCCAGTTTGCCAAAATTCCCTAACGCAATCGCCTAACCAATCCTGTTCCAAAGCCAACTTATCCTATCCAGACCATCACTTAACCTCCAACCGCAACGCATCATACTGGACATACAACGAATCCGGCAAGAGAGCCGTCTCCACACTCGTCGCATTAAATGGCAGAGAAAGCACAAACTCATTCTTCCCCTTCTTCAACTTGTTGGCCCCAAAAACAAACTTATGCTCGGTATTCTGGCACTGCACCGCACTGCGCACCCCACACGATCCGCTCCGCCAGTACGGGATCTCCCATGTATCCTCGTAGAGACCATTAACATTCACGGTCCAGGGCAGATTATTGTATTCCGCGGGGTCGGGATTCCACTTCGAGTTCCCGTTTGCGTTCCTCGTTCCGGCGAGTTGCACGGTGAATGTCGCAGTCTTTGTGTTTCGGAGCTGGCTTGCGGATAAGTCAAATGTGATTGTCCAGTTGTTTACGTTGTCGTAGTAAGACTCGTTGCGGAGGTGGTTGCCCTGGCTCGGGAAGAAGGACCAGTGGATGTAGTTCAGGTCTTTTGCGGGATCGCTTTTTCCAACGTGGTAGGTTATGCCTTCTGGGAAGTCGGCTTCGTAGTCGTATTTGCCCCAGTAAATGCGGTACTGTTCGGGCTGCAGGGGCTTCGAGGTATCCGGGGCGTAGCCGTGCAGGTACTCGCCGGCGGACTTATCGGGGACACCGATGCGCCAGAGTTCGCGGCCGGCGGATTCTTCTTTCCATGTGAAGCTTTGCGCTCTTGAGCCGGAGACTTTGACATTGTCTTTGATGAACCAGCCGAAGATTTCGTCCGCGTAGATGGTGACGCGGTATGTCCCCTCCACCACACGAGAAATTGAGAATGATCCAGACTTGTCGACCTCAGTCCAATACTGCTTCGAGTCTTTCTCAAAGACATTAAGCTGAAAGTCCTGCCCATTCTCCGAAAGAACTATAATCGGCTTCTTCGCGCCCTTGGGCAGGTTTACCTTGCCCCTAAACGTCGTGCGTCCCGAGCTCGGCACGTAATTGGGGATATGCTTCGCAATGCTATCGTAGAACTCAGCATTCCACTCAGGATCGGCGTACTGCGCTGCGTCGGCGCGGAGCTCCGCCATTGTTGTCTCCGGGCCCCCGGCGTTGAAGTGGTAATACTGCGGCCCGAACGTGCGGTCAAACCCATGGGTGAGATTTGGCGTCGGGGCCCCAAAGTGACCGGAGACAATGTAATTGTAGACGATCCCGTCCACGACAAGATCAGCATGGATCGGGCCGCCGTAGTATGTTTCCCGCGTGTTGTGCACTAGCCATGCACCGTAGGTATTCCCGTCGCCGCTTGTCGAGCCGTCGGAGAAGTGCCCGTGGGTGTCATGGTCCCGCCAACTTTCAGACAGTGTGTACTTTGTGAAGTAATCCGAGTACTCGCTCACATAGGGGTCGTCTGGTGTATCACCTAGGTAAGTTGTCGCATCCTGGACGGTGAGCTTCGTCGTGCTAGACAGCGGCATGGGCCCGTAGTTGCCCTCGCTGCCAGAGAAGTGCGTCCAGAGATTTGTGTTTGGTCTGAAAATAGTCCGGAGTTCTCCGAGCCCGCGATTAAAATATACAGCATCATTGTAGTACGTCACGCGCGAGAAAGCATGCAGGCCCGTTTCCTCGCCGCGGAGGAAGAGGTACTGCGCGAGGGTCTGATTTGTCGACTCATACGTATCGTCCATGATAATACCGACGTAGGGTGTGCCTGTCGAATCCGTGCCGTTCACGATTGTTGGCTCCGCACCAGGTGTCCAGAAACCGTCGGGAGTGCAGGAGCAGTCGAGGTAGGGGCCCTGTCCGCTGTTGCCGCTGAGTGGGCCGAGGAGGTCTTGTCCGTCAAGGTTTGCGTCGACAACATGGCCGTTTGAGCGGGAGACTGCGATGGACAAGCGACTGTTTGAGATTTTGATGTGTGTTGAGTTGGAGGTTGTTGTTAGAGCTGCGGTGGAGGAGGCGGCGAGGCCGAGGAAGACCAAGGTCTTCCTGAGAGTGGGCGTGAACATTGTGTGATGGTTGATTTGGCTGATGTATCACCACTGCGTCTATCTTCTAAGCCTGGCTAGAAATATCATTGTCGCTATATAAGGGAAAGGACGAAGGGAACAGGGTCGGTACCTTGCATTGCATTATGCCGAGATCACACCATCACTCTACCCCGGAGATGAGGTCAATCTAAACAGCATGCGGGGTATACTCTGGGGATGCTGAAGTCCACATTAGCCGATCCCTGAGCAATCTATAATCTGCACGTCATTTTGTTTGCCCTGATTTCCCGGCCTTCGATCATTGGTGGAACGCCGGGCGGACTCATTCCCATATGCAGCCACTCATTGGCGACTGGTCGAAGTACCTCCGTGACGACTTTGCTTCGGTCTCTTCTTGCCCGAGCTACGCGGAGTTGAACCGTTTTCTGCGAGTTTGTCCAGGGTCTGGCAACCTGTGAACATGCTCATTTCGTGATGACTGATGAGATCCCCATGACCATAGTTGCCCTACTTCACATTGCCCCACCCACGCCCTTCCCAAGGGCCAACCTCAGCTAGAGGAGGAACAAGGAATTCAAAGTGATCACTCATCCCGTTCATCACCACCAACCATCCTTGTCTCCGGTGCCCCCAAATAACTATACAACTGCCCCTCCAAACTAAGCACAATCTTCTCCAGATAGACCTCGGGCGAATTCACACTCCACCTTAACACATGTTCCCCCTTCTCCAACCCATTTATCAAGACATCCCTCTTCCAAACACCATCTGCCACTTCGGCACTCCATCCGGGCGGCGTATCACCCGGCTCTTCTGGCTCTCCAAGAACACGTGTAAAATTCGCAGGTTGGTCGTCAACTGTCAGAGAGTACTGCATCGGCAGATCCGGGTCTGTGTCTAGCGCACCGTTTATGTAGACGGTTGCGTTGAAAGCGGACTTCGAGTTGAAGAGGTAGATGGAGTACTCGACAAAGGCGGATTTGACGGCTTCCGGTGATGCCCGGGCCGCTTGGTACGGGCGGAGGGCTATTGAGCCGGAGCGGCTGCGGGAACCAAGGTGGGGGATGTGCTTGAAGGCGATATCAGTGTCGTTGCCAAACGATGAGCGCTGGAAGTGCGAGCCTTCGATTGAAATAAACCCGCCTGACTCAGGGAAGCCGACGAAGTCATCTGGAACTCGGAGGTTCCGGATGGGGATATGGATAAGGTCAAAGTATGTCGGTGATGGATCCCATTCAACGCGTAGTTGAACGGTCTCTGTGAAGTTCTCTGGTACGGAAGACCAGTCGATTGAGACCTCCAGTCTCTCTTCTGGGTGGTCCTTCGAGAGCGTCCCGTTCGCTTTGGACAACCGAATCCACGGATGAGGTATCGAAATAGACCAGCCAAGAGGTTTTCGATGATCGCCTCGATGGAAGAGCTCAACAATTCTTGCCTCTGGGCCATACGGGTCCATGATTGGTAGGACAGGGGAGAAGCCTTCGTCTGTTGGCAGAGACGGGTTGATCGAAGCGCAGATGCGGGCTTGGTAGTAAGCGCTCATAGACTGCTCCACGAAAATCCCTAGGTTTCCGAAGGCGTAGTCAAAGTCCTGCCTCAGTTGAACATAGGACAGGTTTGCAAGAACATCGCGTGATGAAGGCCTCCAGTCTGCAATTCCCATGTCAAACTTTGGAGTGGCCATTATCCCCTCCCATTTGCCGCCGGCGATAGAATTGTATTCCTGGGTCAAGTCATAGTCATCTTCGAAGTAGTTGAGTACATTCTGAGCGACAAGGTTCGCGGAGTTTCGTCGCTCAAAGCTGAATTGGCGGTTTCGGCCCTGACCAAGGAGGGTCTGGTAATAGTTGTAACCGGCTTGGGCGGGATATGTCAGAAGATGATATAGAGCATCGCGCCGTTCTTCAGATAGATTCTCATGAATTTCTTGTGCTGTCTCCGCTAGGTCTTTCCAGTCTTCAAGGACGCGTTCGGCTTCGCGGAAATTAAGGACCGAGTATGTTGTTGGCTCTAGCATCTCGTACTTGCGCAGTCCAGCGAGATGACTGTGTTCCAGCAGAGCTGATGCGATTTGTTCCGCATATTCAGTTCCAAAGTCGCGAGCTGCCAGCGCTTCGAGGTAGGAATGGATACTCTCAAAGTCAAATCGAGATGCGTTCCAGGCCAGGTCAAAGGCGAGTGAGATGGGGACTTCCATGGGTTTGATGTCCCCAACGTTGATGACCCAGATTCTGTCAGCGCCACGCTCGTATGCCTGGTATAGCTCTTTGTAGACTTTGGGCTAGACGAATCTGTCAGGCTTGGTTTGCAGACGGAATGAGACAACTTACAAGGTTGTTATTGTTCTGCCACTTCCAGCTCTTCGGGCGCCCGACGTAATCAAAATGATAGTATAACTGTTGACATTAGCATCACAAACAGGGCAATTGATGGGGAAACTTACACCAATTCCACCAGCCCTCTCCCGTTCCTTATCGGTTGGCAACCGCTGCACATTCCCCCAGTTATCATCCGAAAAGATCAACGTCACATCATCAGGCGGGACAAGACCAGCCGCATAATAAGTCATGACCTCCTTGTACACCGTCCAAGCCTGCGGCACGGCATCGGTTCGATTACCATGATACTTTGCCAGTAACTCCCTCTGAGCCGCCCAGACATCTTTCAAAACAGCAATTGGATCCTCAGCCTTGAGCGCCGAATCATTCTCCCCGCGCATGCCGATAGTGAAGTATGTTTCGTTATCCCCAGCTCTCTTGACACCTTCTTCCATATACCGGACCACATTTTCTTTGTTTGTCTCCCAGTTCCACTCACCACCTAGATCGTCGGAAACAAGTTTCCACTCGTTGCTAGACCTTTGCATTGGCTCCGCATGGCTTGTGCTCACAACAATGCCCCAGTCGTCGGCGAGCTGCTGGTTCCGCGGATCATCGGTGAAGAAAGATCGACCTGGCTTAGGGATCCAGGAACCCCACATGGCAGGCCACATAAAATTGGCCTTGAGGCGAATGAGGAGGTCGAAAACATGGCGGTAGAAGTCGGCGTCGAAGGTATAATCCGTGCTGTTTCCGGCTTTGTGCCACCACCCTGTCAATGCGGGGGCTTCGTCGTTGATGAATATGCCGCGGTATTTAATGCTGGGTGAGCCGGATGTTGTCGTTTTATTCAGAGCATAAATAGTATCATGCTTGGTGACAGGGACGTCCGCCCAGAAATGGAGTCTTAAAATTGTCAATGAGCAACGGAGTGTTAGAGGGAAGGAGCGGTGGTCAGGTGACGTACGGTGACTTCCCGATTTGCTCGGAGAGCGTAAAGACTCCAAACATCGTTCCTCGTTTGTCGCTTCCCACAATCACCAACGCATGGCCAATACCAGGAAGAGGGTCCTCAACCAGAACTGTTCGGAATGTCTCCCATTTAGCCCGGATATCGTCAACCAAAATTTTACCATCTTCTTCGAGCTTGGCTACCAACGACGAGTTTGCCGTTGCGACAATAATCACGAGCCCGCCTGAGAAGTCTTCTTCTGCGGCAACTCCTCCTTCCGGAGACCACTCCAAAACGCGATGCTCAACGCCAGTGACCTCTTTGAGATCAGAAGCCAAACAGTCGGTCGCTATTTGAACACCGACAGGATCGCTTGCATCGCGCAGGATTGGACCAGTGCCAAACTCGACCGCTCCGTCGTCAGGTTCAAACGTCACCAACGGCTCGTCTAGCAACGCGGAGGTGAGCCCACAGAAAAGTAAACTCAAGAGGATGTAAAACATTCTCATCGTGAAAATCCCAGTGCAGCTCTATTGTCAGTTTCAGTGCCTCTGCCGTCCTGTACCTAAAGCTTGTCGACTGAGTCTCTGGCTAGACTAATAAAGATATAGTTGCACATTGATGCCTCCACAGAATCCTGAATTGAGATCTCCGGGTCCCATTTGCTATGAGTCGGCCAAGTCCAGGTAACACCAAAACTGATTCGTGGAAATTATGCGATGCCCAGCATTCGGACACTTTTGTCCGTCACCTTATAATTCATGCGTCCTGCTTGCTCCTCCGCTTAGCCAATACTGGAGACAGGCCATGCCCTATGTCGAAGTATATGATTCGCCCTAGACCGCCCCATGGGATTCCTTCGTAACCAATAGACTTCCTTGGCACTGGGGTAATTGAAGCGATATCTGGGGTAGATATACCGAATGGCGTCAAGTTTGCCGCAACAATGAGCTGGCCATGGATAGTTCAGGCTTGGAAGGCGCATTGGGCTATCGGCTACTGATGGATTGCATCATTAACCGACCAAGGTCGCCGACCTCTATACCGACGCAAAGAAACATCACGCTTTTTGCTCGGGATAATGCTCCGCCGACTTCATTGCCAATATTTTTGTCGCAAGCGAAGGATGGGCAATGTCTGGACAGCTTTCACTGCAAATCATGGAGACGGGATGGAGATCGAGTATAAGACCAGGCCATCGGGCCAGGGGATCTTTGCTTCCTCTTGGATAACGGTCACTATAATCCTTTACCACGGAGCCTGTCTTTTGAACGGTCAGTACGATGATGTTCCGGACGCTCGCTTCCACCGTGCTTGCGCTCGCCGCCTGCGCGGGCGCGAAATGGATTGTCCCTGGTGCACGGTGGTATGATACCGACGGGAATCTGTTCAATGCTCATGCTGGAGGACTTTGTGTGGACCAGGAGACCGGCAAGTTCTACTGGTTCGGCGAGTACAAGGTGCAAGGCCAGGTCGAGGGAGGCGGAATCTCTGTTTACAGCTCTGACGACCTTGCAACTTGGACCTCTCATGGGTTGGCCTTGAGTAAGTGTCAGAAAGCGTACCCTAGAGAGCGGATTGACTGACAAGTATAGCGCCCATTGAGAACCACACCTACGTCTCCAACCATAACCGTATTCAGCGGCCCAAGGTCATATACAGTGAAGAGACGGGCGAATACCACGTAATTCCCACTCACCCTTTTCGCTCTTCCTGAAACAACCACTAACAACCCTTCTAAGATGTGGTGGCATGCCGACGACGACAGCTACTCCTGGCTCTTGCAAGGCCTTGCCACGTCACCGAATATCGCGGGACCCTACACCTTTGTGTCCGCAACCTCGCCACTAGGAAACTGGTCGCAGGACTTTGGCGCCTTCACTGACTACAAGTCTGGACGGTCATATGCCCTCTATTCCAACGGCGACAGAGTCGAAGGCCGCGACGTGTATCTCAGCCGTTTCAATGAGAACCTCACGGCCGTTGAGGAGGTTACCTACCGGTTCCCAAAATATGACTTCGAGGCGCCGACGATCATCCAGACCGAGAAGAGTTACTTCGCCCTCATGAGTCACAAGACGGGTTACCGGCCGAACAGTAAGTGATCTCTCACTACTGGCCGTGAAGGTGATATAATGGACTGACTCTTCGAAATAGACGTTGTTGCCCTCCGTGCAGATAATCTCGAGGGCCCCTGGTCACAGCCATTCTTTGTCAGTCCAGCTTATACCCGGACGTTTAGCACGCAAAGTGGATTCTCGTGGAGGATTGCTGGGAGCAAGAAGACCACGTATTTGTATATGGCTGATCAGGTTGGCGCGCCCTTAATGCAAAGACTGGATTATCTCTGACATTGTGGATTAGTGGGACTTGAATAGTCTCTGGGAAAGTCGAAACGTCTGGCTCCCTATTGAGATTGATGAGCGCGACGGTAGCCTCGAGGTTGTTTGGCATGACATTTATGACCTCAACGTGTGAGTACCTGGAATAACAGTCAGACGACCTCCCGGCTATGGTACTGAACGAATCCATAGAAAAACGGGAGAATGGAAGCCAATAAAAGGAAAGACCTACATTTCCAAGCATGCCGAACTATCTGGACAAGCGTATCTGCAGGAAGCTGTATGTTCTCACCTCTGGTATCTTTTGTGTCCGAGCCGAACTAATCATCATCAGTCATTCGCCAGCGGCAACCGCATCGCAACCGGCATCTACGGGAACGACAGCAAAGTCACCTTCACTGTTGACGGCCAAGGCACCGATCAGTGGGTTTCCTTCTACCACCAAAGTGAGCCCCAACCCCATTTCACTACTTCGCGTACTAATAAATACCTCTCAGACATCGACGACATGGGCTTCGGCGACCAACCGCAAGGTCAACCCGACCGCATCAACGGCACTTGGCAGCTACGCCGGATCAGCAGCGTGATCGTGAACGGTGACGAGGAAAATGTCCATACCTTATACCAGAAAGACACGCACAAGGGAATTATTCTCTCGACGCCGCTTCTGCTTCCGCTGAAGGAGGGCAAAAATACAATCACGGTTGGTGGACTGTATAATGGATTTGATTATAAGGGGGCGGATTTGGATCGGATCGTTGTTTATCCGCCTGAGGGGGGCAGGAACAAGGGGAAAAGATTCTGGTGGTGGTAGGAACAGCTGAGGCTTGCTTTCGGACAGGCGGATGATTCACTGGGTCGCTTTAATGCACGTTGTTGTTGGCGCGGAGACCTTTGATGTCGTTATGACCTAGTAAGTGAAGCGAAACCATAAGGCCAATAAGGGAGCATTGTGTGGTTGTAAGAGAGCGTCAAACATACTTTAGCCCTGCCGGAGTATAATGGCACTCAAGAAAGGACCACTTATTGACTATGCTTGTTCAACATGGAAGCCAACGTTGTCCTTCAAAAACAGTACAATGTCATTGATCTCATCTGGCATCTTATACCAGTGCCCGAACTCCTCGTATATTTTCCATGTCACATCCATGCCTAGCCCATCCGCCAGTATCGACGCCATCCGTTCTCCAAGCTTGACTGATACCTTTGCGTCCGCGGAGCCGTGGCCGAGGAAAACAGGAACAGTAAGATGGGGCACGAATAGCGCGTCTTCCGAGTTATTCCCTTTTGACAATGGTGGTAAGTCAAGGATCTCTCTGACATGGTTGACGGTCTGGACGTGCACAGGGGGTTCGGCGCCGTCTGAATCGCGCGCGAAAGGGTCATCGTCGCCTGGGTCCGCTCCCTCTTGCATCTTCAGCAGGCCAGATATCTCACCGTCAAACGGCAACCACCCGCTCATCCCCACGAAGCCCCCTAAACACCGCCAATCAACTTGCCCAGGCTCCGTATCACCAGCAAACCCACCCAACATGGAGAATACCGAAGCCGCGCAGCCCTGGCTCAGCCCACCGACAACAATCCTCCCATACCCATCACCCCTTGACAAATTGTTTGCGGCCTCCAAAACCCTTGCTTCCTCTTCAATCAGCGTCCTTAGAAACCCCGCGGTCTCCTGTAACCCCTCAATCTGGATCTCGCTCCGATAATTCGGTTCGTCCAGCGACCAGTTGTCGAACCACTGGTCTATCGGCGTCCGGTTAAAGAGTATGGCGCGCCGCTTTGCTGCCGTGGGGAAGATGAATTTTGTTGTTGGGAGGCGCGACGCGAGGGCCGTTGATGCTAGGAATTCGTGGCCGAAAAGGGTGGCGTTGCTGCCGCGGCCGTGGAGGAGGATCAGCGTGTGCGTATGGCTTGTAAGGGGCGGGATTGTGAGCGGGGTTGGGTATTCCCTCCCGATCGACTTCGGAGATGGGGTTGAAGCTGGAGGCATGATGATACCTGTAGTTGAAGTTGAAATCCTGTTGCTCTGCGGACCTTGAGTACTTGCTCATGAACTCAGCGGGGTGGATTGACTTGAGCCTGTAGATACGAGGTTGGGCTTTCTAACTGCAGGTGTGCTGGAGCAGAGACGTAAGCCTTATGCAGTCTTGTGATCTCGCATAAATGCCGCACATGTTTGCCTTCTCCGCTGGTTGCTGGCAGGCAGTTTTTCCCCATGTTCGCGACTCAATGCAGACACTCAACTTGTCGACGAACCTACAGTCGGTCAACCGAAGACATGCGCCGCGTCGGAGAACAGACATACGCCGACCACGTTTACGTGACAGATGCTCCGTAACATTGGTAACACACAGATACCGACCTGAAATCAACTGGTCAGATATTCTAGACCGTATACGTATTACGTATTGATATGCTGTGGGTCGTCACACAAAGAAAAGAAAGCTTAAGCGCCAAGCGTGGAAAGGGGGCGGGGAATAAACATATTACCATGCTGCGTAGTCTCGCTTGGCCGTGGTGGTGTTGTATCTAATGGAAAATTACTGTCAGAATGATACGGTAATTCTGACCCCCATTGTTGCCAGACACAAGAATTCAAGTCCGACAGCACGTGACTAGGTAGTCTTAAATGAGTTTAGCGCCGCGTTAGCAACGCTCTTTTTTTCTTTGGGCACTGAGACCACAGTTGGGGTCAACTAGGTCACGCGGGTTAGGTATCTAAGGCTAATTAAAAGTAGCTAGTATAAAGTGCCTTGGTTATCTAACCCTTATTTTTTTTTTAATTTTTATTTTTATATTATTAAATATTTTATTATACTTTATAAAAAATAAATAATTACCTAAGCTAGTTTAACTAGTTACTAATTAATTTTTTATCTTACTTAATTATTAGTTATTAATTAATTACTTTATAATATCTTAATTATTATAGGTTATTAGTATAGTAAATCCTAAAGTTAAAAATATTAAGACTTAAGTAAGTAAATCCTAACTTATTAATAACTAGTTTTTAACTAGTTATTTATTAATAATTATAAATAAAGGGTAATTACTATATTTTTACTAATTTATTATACTAAGTAATTATAATAATAAAGCTTAAAATATATTATAACCTACTTAAATATTTAAAAAGTAGCCTAAGTAATATAATATATATTATTTTTATAAATAAGCCTATTATAAATATTTTAAAAATTAAGAAAGTAGTAAGTATATATATATATATATATATATTATATATATATATAATTAAAGCTTAACTAATACCTAACTAGTTATTAACTAGTTATAAATTTAATATAAATACTATTAAAAATATTAAAAAAAGTATATTTTTAACCCTTACCTATATTAAACATGTTTTTATATTAAATATTAATACTTTAGGGTTTAAATATGCCTTATAATTTATTTAAATATTAAAAGCCTTTATTACTTTAAGCTTAATAATAATAGGTAAAAAAATATTTAGTAATATTAGGCTTTTCTTAAGGTGTATAAAATTAATAAAAATAAAAAAAATATTATTAAATAAGTAATATATTTATAATTAATACCTAACTAGTAACTAACTAGTCCCTTACCTTAATAACTATTTTTAAAGTATAAGTAAGCTATTTAGTAATAATAAAAAAGTATTTTTTTATTTTATATTTAATAAGACTTATAGGCCCCAAGTTACTATTAAAAAACTTATAAATTTAAGTTTTTTAAATATATAACTAATTATTAACTAGTTAGCCACTAGTTAAAAATTAATTATGCCTTAGCTTTTATAGCCTGCTATAATTAAAACTAAAAGTTTTTAAATAATTATTACTTTGCACCCCTAGCACCTAAATAAAAAATAAATATTAATTATTTAAAATAATTATTTAAAAGACCTAAGGTTCTCCAACCCTATAATTATAATATTTACTAATTATTAATATTAAAATATTTAAAATACTATAAGTTTTTAAACTTGTCCCTAATAAGTCTTTAACTAGTTATTAATTAATTAAAGCCTTTTTTTATAACTAGTTATATTTTATAAAACCACTAGGATGCCAGGTTAAATTTTAAATTTTTATTTTAAATAATTTTAAAAAATGTTTTTTTATTTTTTTTATATTTAAAGAAAAGTATACATACTTACTACTAGTATTAAAAAAATTACCTTATATATATTATAAAAAGATTTAAGCTATTATTTAGGACATAGGCAATCTAAATTTTATAAAAGGTAAGTATAATTTACTAGTTATTAACTAGTTAGCCACTAGTTACTAACTAGTTATTTTAAGTTAACTTCTTTGTAGTCCATAGGTTAATAAATTTTATTAAAAGTATAGTATTAATTATTTAGGTAATATTTATTTAGTATTTACTAATATAAATTAAATATTTATTATAATAACTAAGTAAAAGCTATTAATATACCTATATAGTAAGAATATTAATAACCTATACTTTAAGAAAATTTAAATTTTAAAACTATAGGTAAGTATAAGTATTTAACTAATTAATAACTAGTTACTAACTTATTTTAAGCATATATTTAGGATATTTATTTATATAAAGGTCTTATAATTATTATTTATACCTTTAATAAGCAGCTTAAACTTATATAATTTTTAAGCTTTTTTAAGGTAAATATATATTTTATAAGCAGGTAAATAATAATAGCCTTAATAAGGTTATTTTTATTATGTTTTTTATAAAATATAGTAAAGGTAAATTAACTAGTACTTATTAATAACTAGTTAGTTAGTAGTTATTAACTAGTTATATTAGTTACTATACTTTATTAAGTATTTATAAACCAAGAATTAAAAAATGCCTATAAAATCTTATTTACTAAAATTTTTAAACTACTTAAAATAGTTTACAAAAAACTAGCAAGGTTTTGGCATTTTTATTAATAAAGCTTTAAAATAATTATTATAAATATAAATAAAAATTAAATAAAAGGTATTTTTTAGCACTAGTTATTAACTAGTTACTAACTAGTTAGGTTTTAGTAAATATTTTTAAAGTTTTAATTTAAATAACTAGTTTTATTAATAATAGCTTTATAATATTACTATTTTTTATTAAGTTTATTTCCTGCAAGAAATTAAAAATATAATTAAAAAATTTTAATAAAAAATAGTAATATACTAGCTTATAGCAAGCCTTATTTATACTTAATTTTTTAATAAGTTTTATAATATTATTATATCTTTTTTAAGTAAGTAATTAATTATAAACTAGTTAAGCACTAGTTCCTAACTAATTTTTTTTATTAATTTATTTTAGTACCCTAGGTCCTACTAAAAGTAAGGTAATAGGCTACTTATAAGGCTATAATAGTAATTTTTACTAGCCTTAATTTATATTATTTATAAATACTATATATATATTTTAAAAAGGCCTGTTTTTATACTAATGCCAGCAAGAGTACCTACTAAAAATTATATATTTTTACTAGGAAAAAGATATTAATTATATAAATAGTAACTAAATAAGGACTAGTTTATAACTAGTTAATATTTAGTTACTAACTAGTTAACTTAGTACCTATACTTTAAATAAATAAAATATATTTTAATATAATACCCGGGAGATATATAATATTATACATAACTTTTAAAATAATAATAAGGTAGCTTAACTTACTTTAAAGCTATAGTAATAATATAAATTATATAAAAATTTTTTAACTAGTCCCTTATTAAACCCTAACTTATTACTTACTAAACTTTAACTTATTACTAACTAATTATAGTATAAAAATAAAAATAAAATGCAAAAAATAATACAGCCCTTAATATAAATTTAAAAAAAAAAAGCTTTTACCCTAAAATATAAGGTTTAAGTAAAATTTATATTATTTTATAAAGTTTTAAAATAAAGCTATTTTAAATTAACCTTTAAGTTTATTATTTTATAGTAAAGGCTATAATCTCCAAGCCTTAGGTATTTTATTTATAACTAGTTATAGTTTAATTATTAATTAGTTAAGTTATTATTTTTTATAATAAAAATAGTTATATAAAATCGGGCTAAGTTATAAGCTTAATTAAAATTTTAAAAATAATAGGTTATAGTGTAAAAGCAGTACTTAAAAAATTAAAAGTTATTTTTAAAAAATACTTTAAAGTAATAATTATTAACTAGTTAGGGACTTATTACCCCCTAGTTACTTTATTTATTAGGCCTAAAAAATAATTATTTAATTTATTATATATAGGCCTAATTAATTAAGCACTAGTTTTATTTAAAATTTAGCAAGCCTTAACTTTTTTAATAACTAGTTAAGAACTAGTTATGCCTATGCTTAGCTTATTAACTAAATCTTTTTTTATAATTAATTAGGGACTAGTTAGTCTACCCCTAGCCTAATTTTATTAATTATTATACCTTTAGCCCCTTATAACTTTATAAATTAGTAGTTTACTATTATTATTATTAATTTTTAATAACTTTTTTTTATAACAAGGCCTAGTTACTAGCTTACCACCTGCTTTATTTTTATGTTTATTACCAACGCCTAGTACTTACCTAACTAGTCATTAACTAGTTTATAACTAGTTTAATAAAAATATTTTTTTTTATTTTTTTTTCTTTCTTAATTTATCTCTTAATTTATATTTAAACTATATTATACTTATATATAAAATAAATAAAATAAATAAAATAAATAAAATAAATAAAATAAATAAAATAAATAAAATAAATAAAATAAATAAAATAAATAAAA